AAACTACGCTGTATGTTATCTATAATGCTGTACTTCGTGCAGCTGATGCTGAAGGCCGTGGTTCATGGCAGACGGTTCAGGCGAAAGGAGTGGCTCCGACAGTCAGGACGTACCATACAAGCTCCGCTTGTGTCAGAGACAGACTCTATGTGTTTTCTGGAGGAGACGCTGGCGCTTCGCCTGTCACCGATCCTCAGATCCACGTCTTTGATACGGGTCTGAGAAACACAAAATACTACAGTAGATTCAGGACTGACACAACTGAAGCATGCATCGCTGAGAAACTGTGTTTGTTTGCAGTCAGTGTGACGTGGCTGCAGCCGGAGAGCAAAGGGACGCCTCCTGCGCCGCGGCACGGTCACGTGATCACCGCCGTGGGCTCCAACATCTACATACACGGAGGAATGGCAGGAGAGAAGATCCACAGTGACATGTTCCTACTCAACACCGGTGATGCAGCATGCTTTCACAGAAATCATTCATTATGCAATAAGAGCATAGCATTTACAAGCACAAAAATAATAAACAAAGCAATTCTACAAATGCATATTATATGTATTATGTCATAGTCGGCTCTTACAGGCAACTGAATGTTTAGAGTTCTTTAAAGGAGACAAATTATGCCCCTTTTTACAATACGTTATATAAGTCTCAGGTGTCCCCAGAATGTGTCTGTGAAGTTTCAGCTCAAAATACTCCTCGGATCATTTATTATATCATTTTGAAAATGCCTATTTTGAGTGGAAGCAGAAACAGGCCGTTTTCGTGCCTGTCTCTTTAAATGCAAATGAGCTGCTGCTCTCCGCCCCCTTTTCCTGCGCCATTACAGCTCGCACCTGCTAAAAACATCTGTTTTGGTTCTGATTATCATGTTTGTCGTGCTGAAATCATGCGTTTTAAACCATGTTAGTTTAAACTTCTGATAAAAGGTTTTCTGAGCGCACACATCTGAAGCACACGCACAGAAAGCGGCTGTCGCAGCATGCGAGCACTAAACTAAGTTCTCATTCACACACAAGTTTACGTTAAACACACACGAGTTACAAAAACAGTGGGTTATGTCTGTGAAGGTAAACAGCTGGGAAATAAATCATGTTTATTTTAGATCTGTGTGGCAGCAGCAATATACAGTAAATACATCAATAAATCCTCTGAGGCTGGGACTCTAAACAGTGTTGTGTGCTCGTCTCTGCAGCCAAACACAGAACAGTTAGCATGCTTCGCTCAAACTTTCTCCATGGCATTAGAGCTAGGACACCGTTGTCGCTTGCGAACATTTTCATGATATGTCACTTTTAAAGAATCCAAATATTTCTCAACATCTTTCATGGGAAAAAAAATAAAGCAGCTATTTTATTTAAAGGTTAAGTTCACTTTCAGAATAAAAAATTCCTGATAATTTACTGATTTACCCCCATGTCACGTTCATGTCTTTCTTTCTTCAGTTGCAAAGAAAACATTCCAGGATTTTTGTCCATATAGTGGACTTCAGTGGTGGCCAACGATTTGAAAGTCCAAACTAGAAAATATTATTTTTTTAAAGAAAATGACCGATCGTTTTGCTAGATTAGACCTTTATTCCTCGGCTGGGATCGTGTAGAGCTCTTTGAAGCTGCATTTTTAACCTTCAATCCGTTGAGCACCACTGAAGTCCACTATATGGACAAAAATCCTGGAATGTTTTCCTCAAAAAGCTTAATTTCTTTGCGACTGAAGAAAGACAGACATGAACATCTCAGACGACATGGGGGTGAGTAAATTATCAGGAATTTTTTATTCTGAACTTATCCTTTAACAAAAAATTACATTTATGATTGGATTTATGACCAGTTAACTCAGATATCAGGTACTCACTGAGTTTGTGCTGCTGTTTTCCCTCCAAACTGATGTCACTTCCTAGAAGACGATGTCATTAAGGAAGTGCCCTTTGTTTTCTGAACAAAGGGAAAAAAAATACTGAAAGGACAAGTGATGTTGAAAATATTAACACCTATAAATTGATCCAATTAAAACCTAATCTTATTTTTTTCTAATATTTTATCCTACAATTTCATCTTTAATAATTAGATTGTAATATTATATATATAAAATATTAAACAACTCCTAATATGATTAAAAGTTGTGACCCTGGAGCACAAAACCAGTCTTAAGGGTCCATTTTTTGAAATTGAAATTTGTGCATCATCTGTAAGCTGAATAGATTTCCATTGATGTATGGTTTGTTAGGATCGGACAATATTTGAAAATCTGGAATCTGAGGGTGCAAAAAAATCTAAATATTGAGAAAATCATCTTTAAAGTTGTTCAAATGAAGTTCTTAGCAATGCATATTACTAATCAAACATTAAGTTTTGATATATTTACGGTAGGAAACATACTAAATATCTTCATGGAACATGATCTTTACTTAATATCCTAATGATTTTTGGCATAAAAGAGAAATGTATAATTGTGACCCATACAATGTATTGTTGGCTATTGCTACAAATATCCCCCAGCGACTTAACACTGCTTTTGTGCTGCAGGGTCACATATTATTCATGATGGGAGCATAAAAATGTAAAGTTGTATGAATGATCCGGGTATATTTTCTTCATTTTTAAGTAGAGACTCAACTGTCCTCATGCACATATTGATGTATTTCACTCTTTTCTTCTCTCATATTTTTCAGAAACAATGAAATGGGAGAAGGTGAGAGCTAAAGGAGACGTGCCGCCAGGAGTAGCAGCTCATTCATCCGTAACCTTCGGGAAAAACATCTTCATCTTCGGAGGAATGACAGCA